TTCGAGTCGAGGAAGCCCTTAGCCATATGAGGGTCTGCCCGGACCACTTTTCGGGCCTTGATGTGCGGAGGATAGCGCATAAACCCATGATCGATCTTCATCATTTTGGCCGCTTGGCGCGCCACTACGCTGCTAATCGCGCAGGAGAAAAGCGTAGCTGCGAGGAATCCATTGGCGAATCCACCGCCTGGTAGTCTGTATCCACTGAATTCTTGTGGTATGGCGCTTCCGAGGACTCTTCTCATATTCAAAACGCCAGGATCTTTCCGATTCAGAACGTAGAGCAGTGCTGTTACCGCTCCTAAAGCCCCAGTGACTGCTAGGCGTGATATATTGGTTGCTGGCTTTTCAGTCTTCTCTGGCTTCTGGGAAATCACACGGACGGCCTTTGGAGGAACATATTTTTTAGCGTCCTTGAGGATACCGATCAAGTACTCCTGCAAGATCTCCCTGGAGTCTTCGGAATGGCCGACATCCTCGAAAGCTGTGGTGGCGTCAGAGCCTGCAGTCTCTAGGAGAACATCCACGCCTCCTGGATGATCCTGCAGGTACTCAGTGATGTCAAAAACTATGGGAGCAGTTCAGTATCCCGTCATTTGGACGTCTGGAAATCCCTTACCTTGCCCGTGGACAGCAATCCAGATGTCATCCTTGCGATTATGCTTGGCAATATCGGCCAAAGTATACTCGGTAAGCTGGGAATCAGCTCCCATCGAGGCTGTAGACTCTAAAGGCACAGATTGGGCCATTATTGGTTAAAGGGGATCTGGTGAGATGGTAAAGGATAATTGTACTCCTGAGAAGGAATAAAACGAACCAGGGCTCCGGCATTATAACTGCCCATTTTTTTCACACCGAGGTATAACGGTGATATGCGCCTAATGAAGCGCGACATAATTATCAACCAGATACCCACATTGCATTGGTAAAAGTCTCGCAACGCTTGGCTCGGCCGGCATCCTTACATCGGAGATTGGCCACGTCTGACGCTTAACGGCCCGACTGGAAGGTCGGCACGGCGTAGCCGACGATTCTACCAACCTCTTGGCTTGAGCCTGCGATAGCATTCCCCTTTTTCTGGCAGAAACTCCGTAGCCAGTGGGTCTTGGGGGGGCGATCGTTGTCTTCTCTGTTGTTAGTTCGAGTTTTCGGTGACGGCGACTCACGAAACAACCGAGGCAGGCGCCGAGGCCTTCAACGTCTATGCGCATAATTGTCTCTGGAATGAACGCTACTCGTGCACTATCGCTGAAACCAGAAACCATTCCTCTTCTTGCTATGTGGATAGTGAAAACCATGACTGGTCAATGTGGGTTCATTGTCAGTCTGGGTCGTTCGCCCTGATTTGTCTGTCGCATCGAGGTGGTCTTATTAGAGATAGTACGTACTATCTATAAAGCTCTACGATGACCCTGAGCAGGCAGAGTGTCCCCATCCGCCCATCGAGAGATTTTCAACCACCACTCTAATCATGTCCGCAAAGCTTTTCCATCTCCTGGGTGAGCCCGTTGCGACTGCTCGAGAGGTTGAAGTGGACTCATCGCTAGACTATGATGGGCTTAGAAACCTAATCGCTGCGCATTTTGCGATAGTCGACCCCAATGGTACCAAGCCCCCTATCCCTCAATCGTATGAACTTTGAGAATCTCCTCCAAGCTGACTTCTCTAGGCATCGGCTTTCAGTCTGAAGACGCCGTCTTCACCAGTGTGGCCGAGATCATCGCTTCTGAAACCCCAATTAGTATCGCCATTGATGGGAAACCTGTGAGAGAGGTCCCGGGACCAAAGGGGCTTCCGATTATTGGAAACTTTTTCGAGATCTACCCTGATCACTTGGGTAATCACCAGCGCTTGTTTGAGCAGTACGGGCCTCTCTTCAAGACCACCAACTACGGCCGCACCGTATACCACACGAACGATCCAGAACTCAGTGCGATCGTCTTCTCTGAAAGTGATTTCTTTACTAAGAAAATCAACGAATCCCACCCGCTTCATGCAATCAAGAATAAGGAAGCGGGCGTGTTCCTCGGCGACACCGACACGCCTGAATGGAGAACTGCCCATAAATTTCTCCCTCCCGCGTTCGGTCCGAAGGCTGTCCGCCATTATGCGCCAGTTATGCAGCAAACGGTAGAAGATGCCTTCAAAGTGTTTGATGTCTTTGACGAGCAAGGCGAAGCGTGGAATGTCTATCAATACATGTTGAAGCTTGGCTCTCAGGCGGTTGGAAAGCTAGTCTTAGGCATCGACTTCCAACACTTCGCCAACATGAATGCGCCCCCGCATGAGTTGATTCTTCTGATTGCCGAGTCACTTGAACTGAACAAAAAGATCACTGCCAGAGGTGATTGGTATGCCAAGCTGCCCTTCGGGGACCCTAAACGCCTTCAACAAATCCGTGGTCGGGTCTGGAACATTGTCGACGAGTCCATTCAGAATGCTAGTCGTGGTGGCGTTGAGGATCTCCCACTTCAGGATGCCGCCCTCAAAGCCCATAACATGATTGGTATGTTAAGCCAGGGTTATCACCTTTCAAACAGCCGCTAACTGCCGAACAGACTACGCCATCCGGGCGACGGATAACAAAGGCGAAAAGTTGCCCAAAACGAGCTTAATCCAAGCTCTAGTTGTGGCAACTGGAGCGGGCTTCACCACCACCAGCTCGCTGCTGTCATGGCTAATTTACAGCCTTGTCAACTACCCTGGTGTGCAGGATAGGCTCTTGCAAGAGCTCGTAGATAACGGCATCGACGCCGATACGCAGATCACTGCCGACTTGACCGACCGTCTTACATTCATGGACAAGTTCATCAAAGAAACTCAGCGCCGACACAACCCGTCCTACCAACCCGCGCGCACAGCCAAGGTGGATATGATCCTGCCTGGCGGCTACAAACTGCCTGAAGACTCGGTCGTCATCGGCGCACTTCATCACCTTCATAACAATCCCGAGGTCTGGGACAACCCGACGCGTTTCAACCCTGACCGATGGGATACTGAAGAGGTCAAGAACCGACACAAATCTTCCTACATTCCCTTTGCAGCCGGTCCTCGCATGTGCATCGGCTTCAACTTTGCTCTGCAAGAAGTTAAGGTGTTTCTGCCCAAATTGGTGTACCGGTACAGGTTCACAAAGGAGACAGATGGCCCGATTGAGTACGATCCTATGTTCCAGCTGATCAGGCCGAATAACCTGTATGTCCGTGCTGAACGGCGCGTCAAGTGGCCGCCGAAGACGGAATCTCCTCTGCCGACGGCGTCGCTATGAGCAGAGTCTCAGTGAGGGATGAGAGTTTCCGCCTTTGTCGAGAGTGTTTTGATGTGCATTGTTCCTGTAAATAGATCAGCGTTGATATTGTCCCCATATCATGATAGACCATTCTTTTACTCCCCTTTTCCACCGTTGTACTCTTGCAGAATGAAGTCAACCAAGACGATTAATTTAATGCCCCGATAGAGCTGGTTGATACATCAAGGAAAAATTCAAAAAGACATCTCCCCGACTGGGAGTCGAACCCAGGTCTCCCGCGCTTGTTCCCAGTAGGGATTGACAAGCGGAAATCATGACCGTTAGACCATCGAGGATGTTATATACTAAGAAATATATCATATTGTTGTAAAAAGCAAAATAGTAAGCGCAAAATAACATCTCGGGTCGGTTAGTTTTTTGTCTATCGGTTCGCTTAACTTTCCCTCACAACTTGGGATTACTATTACTGTCGTGAACTGAGTAATCCACCAAGAAATCACAAGTTTAAGAACCGGTAGAGCTATTCTAGTTTGATATTAGAAAGTAGTTCAACTACTACCATTCCGTATGTGCGTTTTTCCATGGTGTTTAGATGGATAAAGTGTGGAAAGGCTGAATGCTAATCTACCGTAAGGCTGAGTGTCTGTCAGCCCTATTTGTGGGCCACTCTCGGTAGCTATTACTCAGCTGCTTTTGTATTTATAGTTTGATGTCAGCCGGATAGTCCGCGGTAGGCTGGGTTGTCGAGCACAAGGGAATAATTGATAAATGCGCATTGAGGGTCTGGTCTTAGCATCGGGCGTTTCTGGTTGCAGTTCGGCATAGAAGAGACTATTCTGGGGAAGCTACAACCGGTGAGCTACGACCGCAATTGTAGGAGATGGCCGGACTGGGAGGGTCGTTGTGTAATTAGTCGTAGAAAGTGTGTCGGGTACCGGGGATGATAAGGTTTATAATGAAGACGGAGTATGAGAGCAAATCAGAAGGAGAATAATATAGGAAGAGGAGGAAGGGTTGGGACAGGCCATGCCATGTTGACCGAAAAGACATAACTAATATTCAACATGATTTAATGTTGAGACATCTACTGTAGTCGGGCACCACCTGAATCTCCACCACCTCCTCTACCTTCATGCGTCTCTGACCACCACCTCTTACACTATCAGCCAACAATCATCTTAAGACCTAGATCATATTCAATCCTTCGTTTGAAGAAGGCATGAGCCCGGCTTTTGTGCCATAAAGCTATATATACTCTAAGAAATTGCGGTTAAAGATCAAACAACCACTGGAATACCTGTGGTAAGTAAAAATATATTAAGTCTATAGCTACTGAAATACTGGTAATCTGCAGGAGCGCGTTTCTAGTTTCATCTTATTTCATGACTTATCACTATCTCCAAAAAGCTCGAAGACGTCTCTTGGAGATCCATACAATGACTCGACGTTTGACAAAATGCGAATGCTGCAAAGTTTTACTCTTACGTAGTGATTACCAGACCCTTCATCATCAAAAGTAGCATTAAACGACCCCTTCCCTTCATTCACTTCACCACTCCCTCACTCTTACTTCCTTTAACACACGTGCCCACACAGAGTCTCTCATTATCTTGTCCATCCTTTCTCTCATCTCGTCCCATCTTCTGTTTCAAAAAGAAAAAAAAAAAAAAAGCTCACGCCTCCAGTTCACGTCCTCGGGCTCTTTTTTCACGCTACTCGCTTGTCTCTTGCTTTATGCGGCCTTTGTAGTCTAGGGAGAGGCTTTTTTATGAGCCACTTTCGCCTCCTTCTTTGCCTTCTGCTGAATCTTCTTCTTATAAGAGGCGAGATTTCTTTCGATAGGCACGTCAGAACCAGGTTTTTCACCTATAGCCGTTTCCGACGCCTTGGGAAGCTTTCTTCCATTGAGCGCCAGAGGTACATCATTGTCCGTTTCGGGGTCCTCGTGCTTCACGGAAGCGCAGCGTCGCTTTTGCTCTGTTGACTGGTCAGCTGCTCGAACGAACAGCGACAGCAATAGCGTCGCAAGAGTAGGGGGGGACAAAGGAACCGGCTTGGAGGTACTCGGCGTACCAAGGGTTGATCATCCTTCTACGCCTCCTCGATTATTGTTAACCATGCAGATTATATTGCTTCCTGAAGAATACTGGCTCGGCCAGACAATCGAGGTCTCCTCACCTCTCTCGACTTGGAAACTCATCGAAAAGGTTGTGGAGAAAGCCTTTGTCTGCAGCCGAAGAGATGTGAAAGAGCTGGGCCGGCTGTCTTGCGCCCGCGCTGATTTCGAGTGTTGCAATGCAAGTAATCCTTACGAGCAAGCTCTGATAGAAGTTTCCTTCAGAGCACCATTACTGCGATAGCTAGGAAGGGCAAGATTTTGTTTGTAATGGAGGGAAAACCTGACTGCAGGTCCAATTGAAGGTGTTGGCGCCAGTCAATTGATTGATGATTTCTGGATGGGACCCTGGATGGGTGCCTGGCTGCCTGGAGGAGACGATCTTTTAGAACTTCAATCCCGCCTTTCCGTCCCTCCATCTCTTCTATTTCTACTCTCTTCCTTCCCCTCTTCGTTCTCTCTCTTTTTTTTTTTTTTTTTTTTTTTTTTCCTTCTTCACCTCTTTCTCTTCTTGTCCATATTCACAATTGAGGGTTCGATTGTCGGTTCAACTCGAGCGCATCCTTAGCATGTCGGCCCCGTCCGATCCATCTGCCTCCGCTTCTTCGCGAGGGACGCGTGTGCATCACCGCATCCTCGCTGAACTTGGCCTGATTTCAGTCTGGCAATCCCCTCGCGATGTCAAACTTCTCTGCGCCCAGCGCTTTGTGCGTCTCTTCGCCTACGGTGGTTCGACTCTAATTCTGGCTGCCTATCTCTCAGCATTGGGTATCTCCGATGAACGCATCGGTCTTTTCATGACCTTGACCCTGGTGGGCGATGTCGCCATCAGCTTCCTCCTCACCCTGTTTGCCGACGCCATGGGTCGCAGGGCTGTCCTGGCCCTGGGTTCAGCCTTAATGGTCGGGAGTGGCATCCTCTTTGCTTCGGTCGGCAATTACTGGGTCCTTCTGGCGGCAGCCGTCTTTGGCGTCATAAGTCCGAGGTAAGTTCTCCGATCTCCGAGCGAAACATCCGACTATTTATAGTATCTCCGACATGTCTGGGCATACGCGCTTACAAACTCAATAAAACAGTGGAAACGAAATTGGCCCCTTCCGGGCTGTCGAAGAATCAACTTTGGCCCATCTGGCCCCCAATGACATCTTGAGCGATATCTTCGCATGGTACTCGCTCATTGGCAATGCGGGAACCGCTCTGGGCATGATGACTGGCGGATGGGCCATCAACCTGCTTCAGGTTATCTGGGGATGGCCCTATATTCCCGCCTGTAGAGTCATCTTCTTCGCCTATGCCGCTATTGGCGCGCTCAAGTTTCTCCTGTCTATTGGACTGAGCTCCGCTGTGGAGGCTGAGAAGAAGAAGCCTGCGCGACAGTCTACTAATGAGGGTGAAAGACAGCCTCTGCTGGGCGATCAAACGGGCAACGCCACCCCCCAAGAGCAGCAGCCTCAGAAGAAGAAATCGATTCTTTCTTTCCTCGGCGATTCCGAGGTCGTCTCCTTGTTTCTGCGACTTGCGATTCTGTTCGGATTGGACTCGTTCGCCTCTGGACTGGCGTCTCTGTATGTTTCCACCCAGAGGCTTGGCAACTCTTTCCAACTCGGCCCTAGAATCCGTATAGTTCGATGAAACTGACATGTCCCTTAGATCTTGGATGACATACTTTTTCAAGCGCAAGTTCTCCCTCCCTGAAGGGTCACTCGGATCCATCTTCTTCACTACCAGCCTTATCTCTGCGGCTTCCGTGCTGGTGGCCTCATCCATCGCCAAGCGCATTGGCAATGTTAAGGTCTGCTTTACCCCAAGGTATACATTCCTTCCTTACCCTTGCTGACCACTACAGACCATGGTCTTCACTCATCTTCCCTCCGCTATTTGCCTGGCACTCATCCCAGTTCCTTCGATTCTCCCGCTGGCGCTGACCTTTTTGATCCTCCGCGCCTGCTCTCAAACTATGGATGTGGCTCCTCGCTCCGCCTTTCTGGCTGCAGCGCTGCCGCCAGACCGTCGCACAGCTATCATGGGCTCTATCAACGTCGTCAAAACCTGCGCCCAGAGCCTTGGGCCTCTGTTGACCGGTATCTTGGCCGATCGAGGAGTCTTCGGGCTTTCGTTCACCATCGCGGGTATCCTGAAGGCCGTCTATGACATCGGCATGCTGCTCAGTTTTGCCGGAAAGGAAAAGCAGCAGCGGCGACCGGCACCAAGGAATGAAGATGAAGAGGCCGCCTAGACTCTAGACCGACTTGAACGAGCCAGCCATGGAGATGGACGCTAAAGACGCTGGGTAGAAGGAATCACGTACGCCCCGTTTGAAACAGCGGGGAACGCTACGCATACAAAAGGAACAAGCAGGTTGGAAACAAGAACATGGACAAGGAGCGGAGATGATGGTGACTCGCAGGCAGCTGTCTAAGCAGACGGCCAGTCAGCTGCGACACTCGTTTACACTTTTACTCTTAACGTAACTCCCGGCCGCGCCGGCCATCCCTAGCACACCGCCCTAGAACCATTGTACTACTCATTGCTAATTCAGAGCCTTTCATCAAAAGAGTGGTTGCATGTAGAAACGCGTTGGGCGGTGTACTGGGTGGCCGGTGCGGCCGGGAGTTACGTTAGTACCTTGTGTATGACTACGCTTTGCTTTGCTTTTATTGTATATCTGGTTGTGACTGGCTACGGCAGCGACTTCCTACTTCATGGCTTGCGTTGTTTCATGGGCTTACGCGAGTTTGAAGGATCTGACGGCGTTTCTGGGCCATATTCTTGCTTCAAACAGCGAAGCACCTGCAAGCATCTTACTTAGCGGGCTCGATCAGGTATAAGGATGTGAATTGAATTGGATTGGATTGAACCAAAAGAGTAAAACACAGAATATTAAAAACATATACAGCATCACGAATAAACAGATTTGATGCTTCTTTAAAGCCTTGATAGTAAATAGAATCCTGTCTTCTTGCTCCGCTGTATCTTTTATCCTTTTAGACTGTTTTGGTGGCATGTTTGTTAGTTGAGAATAGCTTCAGATAACAGTAAAGAATAGTTGTGGGAGATTATTCAGTGTCAGGATTTCTGACTCTGACTGAACTATTTTTCCAGCTCTGTTCTGACACTGTTGTACTCATTTCTGACCCCGTCGCAGCTGGGTGGCCCCGGCGCGGGCGGGAGTTACGTTATACTGCAGGCAAGCTAAGGTGGACGCTTAGACTGTCTACCCCCAAAAAACCCATCTTCGAAAGTTGTAGTACTATCTAAATGACATAGCCGACAAAAAGGGCATGGAACATGCTAATAACCCTATCATTAATTGTACAACTGAGGGGTATATGCATACATACATACATACCTTCTCCTCTCGGTGAATCCACAGATAGTCCAGAAAGATAGATAAATAGATAGATAGATAGATAGATGGAAAGATAGGACTGGGATCACTAAATGCCAGCTCGCTTGCAACCCCGCATTTCGGCCGATCCCAACCCGATTACTATTCGGTATAGAAAAGTCAGTCCATCCAGTCCGGCTAAAGACCCACGACAACAGCTTGCGATAAACCCGAACCCCACAGAGAGAGAGGGAGAGGGGGGAAAAGAACTCGCACCAATAATGGGCGCCGGCTGTATTGTCTTTCCCCCGCAAATGGAGAGCGATGATGTAGATACACAGATACTACTGGTTAGTGTGTGATGGATAAAAGGTAGATAAAAAGAACCGATTGCCCCTGTTCCCGCTGCTCGATTGGAGTTTGTGAAGAATTAGCTCAATCTTGTGTTTCGCCTGTTGTTTCTAGGAAAATGTCGCGGTATCTGAGAGCATTCGTGCTCGCTCTCGCCGGATCCACCCTGGTGGCATCAGCTAGTACCAGTACTAGCAATAGTAATAGCTGGTGCCAGACATCCTGGTCAACAGATACATGCCAGCTATTCACAGAGTCCATGGAATACCTTGATAGAATATACGATGCCTCCGCGGGCTACGTCTATGACCCGAGTGCTGCAACGGCGCTGCGTCACGATACGAGGACGTCTGTGTGGTATGCTGTGGGGTTGTTGGCTCGGGATCAGGGCGATGATGTAGCTCAGGCGATGACTATCATCCGAAACGTGATAGATGCGCAGTTCAAGGATACAAGTGATCAATGGTGGGTGGTTGACACATTGGAGAGGACATTCCCCCCTTTGATCAGTACTGACTCACCGGTCTATGCTCACTCACAGGTACGGTGATTACCAGCAGTTCCCCGAAGAACCTACAGTGGGAACCTCAGCTTACCCACCCATTATCTATGATACCTGGGATCCGAATTGGAGAGAGTTCATTGGGACGGCCTTCATCATTGCGCTTGAGGAGTTCCCACATCTGATCGATGCGGATATGACGCAACTGATGCATGCGTCGCTTTACAATGACACTGTTGGGGATAGTTATCGGGTCGGTGGGGTGGACGATGATAATCTATATCCGTCGTATACGAACCCGGTGCGTGAGGATTCAGACTCTTGGTACCACTAAGTGTGAGTTAACTGACTAGCTGCGCAGTCCTTAATGCGTGCCATCATCACAGGCTGGACGGGACGCAAGCTTGGAGATCAGAATATGACCAATTCGGGCGAGACATACGCAACGGAGATCATCCGGCTCTTCGATCGCGCAGATACGCTTTCGGAGTTTAACAGTGCTACTTATACGGGTGTTTCTCTGATCGCGCTAACTATGTGGGCTAAGTATGCTGCAGAAGACTCGGTCATGAAGGGGAAAGGAAAGGAGATGTTGCAGGATACTTGGGATACTATTGGGGAATTGTATCATGCTGGGTTGAAGAACCTTGCTGGTCCCTGGGATCGGGCTTATGGGTTTGATATGCAAAAGTACTTTGGTATCATGTCGGGGCATATTTGGTCGCTGGTGGGGAAAGAAACTTCTCCTGTTATTGATAAGGTGAGTAGAAGGGAGACGCTGCCGCCACACCAGCGTCTCCCGTAGGAGAATGATCGTTAGTGTTTTTCTGGTGCTAACAACTGATACATACAGGTGTATATGATGTCTCACAACTCCGACTTCTCCATCTCGCCTCTGATCGCTATCCTGTCGAACTTTCACAATTCGCTTGTCCCGTCAACGGCCATCCAAGCCCTGAAAACCTTCCCCGGTGAGCATATGGTCAACACATCCGCGTACTCTATTCCATATGACTCCTTCCCACGGCAGGTGGCTGCGTGGCTGAGTGAAGGCATTAGCATTGGAGCGGAGACCTTCAATGAGTCTGTTGTGGGTGGCCCAGCCATCAATCCATCGCAGTTTAACCCGGCTGTCATTCAGTGGGATACTGGGGCTGGAATAGGGTGGATAACAGTGAGTTGACCTAGGACACCGATGCTGATCCAAGGTCATGGCTAACATCTCACAGCTGTATGCGACGGAGGAGGCTCTCAACGCTGAAGTTGGACCCGGCTATCTGAACCTGACCTATCCGCGTGGGACGTCGGCGTCCCAGTTTCAGTTCCTGGTATCTCCTTTTGGTACTCAGAAGAATGTGGCCGGCTGGCAGGACATTGTCGGCCTGAATGTCACTGTGTCGGGGAATATGGACCCAACGACGCTGAACATCTCGTATAGCTTGAGCGACCAAGTCATTAAGTAGAGCCTCCAGCGCCCTGTTCAGTGACCATAAGCTAACCAGTTCCATAGTGATTTTAGGTTCTGGAATTTCACTTATTCCATGCCGGCAAATGGCACCGCGATTCCAAATGTTCTTCTGGAAGTGAAATTGCAAACATGATATCTATGCTGTAATCCTACTTGATAAAATTAACTACGCGGTACTCTATTTGTTCAAGAAACTCCAAATAGCGCTCAGAAATCGATTTTTTATGAAAAGGAATACCTTATATAATATATCTTATTATTAGATCAATGTGGAGCATTCTTCCAATCTTCTTCAGTGCAGGACATGGTACAGTGTTCTACTAAGGAAGAACTGGGATCTACGCGCTGTGCATAAAAAGTAGCTCTAAAAGAAGAAGCAATCAAAGCAGCAGCTAGTCTTTAAAGGAGATATTTTAACCCAGGAAGTAAGAGACAAAATACAGTAGCTAGAGGAGGCCCAGGTAGAGAAGACAGGATCTTAATCATCTACGTGTATATCTTCCTGCTGCAGTAAGTGCCATACAACCAATTGTCATAAGAGAAATTCAGTATTCGAAACTCTATTATAAGTAATAATATGCACGCGGACTTTATTGATTAAATTGTTATTTGGATAGCTTCATTTCTGCTCGAGTTGGGTGGTCAGGTCGGGTAGGGGTGGCCGGCGCGGCCGAGAGTTAAGTTATCATTAATCTATCAATCTATCATAGGTGTGGTTCATTGCCTGGCTATATAGTATAGATCAAGATGATGAAGACCTGCGACGACTCAGAAAATCGAGAGGTAAATTTACAGGGAAGAGGTAAAAAGGGGTCCATTATATATACATCCAGCCTCGACTCATTCCATGATCTCCAGGTTTTCCGCAACCGAAAACTTCGCCCCAGTCTTGTCCTGAATCTCCTCGACCTCCACACCCGGAGCCAGTTCCGTCAAGAGAAGCTCACCCTTGGTCCGGTCGACCTGGAAGACGCACTATAGCCTGCTGTTAGTTCATTCTTTCCTTTCTGCAATTCTTACTGATTGCCGTCATCTGCTAGGGCACCTTTCCCACTTACCAGTTCGGTGATAATCGTGCTGACACAGTTGGCGCCAGTCAAAGGAAGGCTGCATTGGTCCACAATCTTCGGTGATCCATCCTTGGCGGTGTGGCTGGTGGCAACCACAATCTTGGTCTTCTCGGGGTTGGAGATCAAGTCCATGGCTCCTCCCATTCCCTTGAACACCTTACCGGGAATCATGTAGTTCGCCAGGTCGCCGTTCGCGCTGACCTGCAAAGCCTGTGTTGTTCGACCAGTCAGCTTCCGTCACCCGGTTGCCGATCATGAACAGGGTTTATCACGTACTCCCAAGATTGAAACATCTACATGTCCGCCGCGGATCATCCCAAATGACTCACTGCTATCAAAAGTGGCCGCGCCTGGGACCAGTGTGACAGTCTCTTTGCCGGCATTGATGATATCCCTGTTGGATTGGAGTAAGCCAGTGCCCCAAGACATCAATGATAACTGGCCAGTGACATAGGGACACTTACGCATCAACTTCCTCTTCTGTCGGATAAGGGCCCTTGAAAATATGTCAATTTCCTTTCCCATATTGCTTTCGGGAATTATTGGCTTACCATGCCCAGGATACCGTTCTCAGATTGGATCCAAACCTTCACATCTTCGGGCAGAAACGAGGGGGCAAGTGTGGGAATACCTGGGAAGTCATTAATATCGAGCAGCATTTATGACTTAAGGGACTACCTTACCAACTCCGAGGTTAACATAGTAACCCTGCTTGAGTTCCCGAGCAGCCCGCTTAGCGATTCGGTTCCGTAGGACAGTCGCAGCGTCCTCTGCCTTTTTGTTTGCATCGTCACCCTTGTCAGACCGCAATTTCTTGATTTCGATATGCTTTTCATCGGTTGCGGGGACGATTCTATCAACGAAGATTCCCGGTAGATCAACATCGTTAGGGTCGATTGAGCCAACGGGAACAATGTTCTCGGCTTCCACGATAGTAAGGGCTGCTGCCTTCGCCATGATGGGGCCGAACGCCTTCGTAGTGTAACTATGTCACATCATTAGCATTCCAACGTACATAAAAGAGCGTCGAGAATTGCCTACCGGAAAACACAATTTCCTGCAGCGTCTACCTTCCACGCTCTGAGAATCGCCACATCCCCATTGAGCGCAGTCTCCATCATATAAGTTTTGCCATTAAACTCTCTTGTCTCGCGGGGCTTGCCACGCTCGAGCACCTTCCCGGATTCGTCTACACGCACCGGAATCTCTCCCTTCTGAAGCAGAGTGTCTGCCAAGAACAAGTCAGTAAGATACATCATGTATCCATTAGCGATCAAGAACTCTAAAACTCACGAACTCCCGTGGGGGTATAAAATGCGGGGATCCCAGCTCCTCCAGCACGTAGTCGCTCGGCCAGACTGCCTTGCGGACACAGTTCGATGGCAATATTTCCCGTCAAGTATTTCTTCTCCAGAGCTTTGTTGTTTCCCAGGTAGGAAAGTATCAGTCTATTGACCTGTCCCGCTTGCGTTAGGGTAGACAGCCCGCCCTTCCCGGCGAGACCAGCATTGTTCGAAACCGCCGTCAAGGAGTGCAAGTTGTCTGCCCCTCTGCGGTGTATCGCAGAGATCAATGTTTCTGCAATAGATTCATGGGTTAATAAACTGGTAGTATTATCTGGCAATACCAAGAATATCTTTACCTGCGACACCACATAGGCCAAAGCCTGAACTAAGAATGATTGACCCGCTCTTCAGATCTGCCACGGCCGCATCCGCATCCTTGAACAACTTTGAAGCGGCACGGTCAATCTTCGGGGCCCGCGGAGCTTGCTCGTGTGTAGAAGTTGAGTATCTGGCCCGGCTACCGATACTAGTAGCGAGAGGCGCATACAGGCTCGGAGAAAGTTGCGACCGTCGATAGCATTGCGGACGAACAATCAACCTTCGTGACAAGACCAACGCGGATAATCGAATGGTTGCCATTTTCCTCGTGGCTATAGGATGAATTAATCGCGATTGAAAAATGTTGCAGAGGCTACTAAGCCATGAAAAGCAGGAAAACCAGGCTGGTTAATATGGGAAGCTGAGAACGGCGCCCCTCGGCACTCGGCGCTACTTCTAGTCGCCGAGCGGCCGAGCTCCCAGGACCTTTCGGCTCGGAACCAGAAATGAGATCATTTCTCGATCCGCGTAGCCACCGATCTGCTCCCCTCCATTCAGAAGCCAAAATCTGCCGCATTTCCGACATCGAACCAGTCCCAAGTCATTAGGTCATCCAGTGGCACATCGGGCACAGTTGTCCCAAATGCGGTGCCAGCTCGGTTCACCGCGTCTATGATCTGGTCATCAGACATAGCAGAAAATCTGAGTGGTTCAGGCCAAATAAAAGAGGTCGGTATCGAGGATGGCTGTGTCCCGGAAGCCACCGGGCAATACCCATCCAAGTCTGGCGGAGGTTGTAGCGGCCCCGTTTCGACCTTCAGGTTCTGAGAGCCTGCGCTTACAGGAGCGCGTCTGACAAGCGCTCTCAGGAAGCGCCCATAGAGAACAGAGGCGCCATTTCTATGGCGGGTAGTAGCTCCAATACGCTCAAGGACACCTGCAGTTTCCTCGATCAAATTATGAACACTTGGCGCCAAACTCGACCTGCTGTCTTCTGGCATCACGCTGAGACTAAGTGCTGAGCATGCAGCAAAGGATATCATGATGACAGTGTTATTCGGCATGGATTTCAATCGCGACTCTCCTTGTATAGCTGCTCTCAGAACGTTCAGCGCAGAAGAAAGGCCGGCAGCACGGAAGAATCTCTTGACTTCCAAAGGTGCTGTAGGATGGTTGATAACACCACCATATGTCGATAGCCTCGTATGTGTTACAAGGATTTCAACATAGGGTGGAAGGGAGCGTGCTTGGTGTAGGTTAGCCGGATGTACAATGGTTAATGCGAGCCTGTTGCACCTCTACAAGGGACTTACAGTGACCTTCCCCAATCTCAGGCGCCCATATCTCATACCACTTGTCGTAGAAGCTTTCAATCATATTCTTGATCCTAGGGACAGCGTAAGTATTCGCGTGTCAACAACTTGTGGGATGCACACGTACGATTGCGCTACCTCAGACCCGGCATCTGCGACCTGGTGGCTGTCGCAGTTGGCTTTTACTCTCAGGAAAAGGCCATCCTGTACGCTCCCGTCAGAAAGGTCCTTCCGTACGCATGAGACCGCCAGTGTACTTACCAAATTCCTCCTGAGCACAGCCATTGAATTCATCGGACCATCACGTGAGTCTGCAAAATCGGATACGTGCCACTTATCACAATAGTTTATAAGGGCTGTTGAAGGGACTGTATAGCTTCGCCCGCGAGCTAAACATACACTGCAAGATGAAGTTAGACAGGCAATAGCAGAGCTTCTGGTGATATGCCTACCCTCTTTCGAGAACAAACAGCGCTATCCACGTTCTCTCTCGCCGTCGGAGAAGTCTTCGGCCCCATGCAGAGTTCGGTTCTATGCCATCAAATCGGTCCATGTATAGGGCTCTCTTTGCATCGATAGTTTCGGCCTTAGCGAGTCTTCTGAGAAGGCTATGCTCGAAGCTAGTTGATGGAAGCACAATCTTGTTCAACGAGAGATCTAAAGCAACAGCTAGAGCCATGGCAATGTAGGAACATGTATCGTCATCCCCCAGGCAACTACCTGGCTCCATCCATGGAACATTTACCATGAAGGCTAAGACGATCTCAACCGATCTGTGGCGTCGGGCAATGACATTATGGGCCAGGGACTTGCAATGTCGAGAAAGCCGCTTCGACAGTGCTGTAGCAGATGGCAGGAACAATGCAGCCGCGGCCATGATAGAGGTGAATAGAAATGCAGACTGGGTCCGCACAAACGAGACGGTGTGTACCAGAGGGTCTAGGCCCCATCGAGTATGTGCGAGGTTCTGATAAAAGCTAGCATCAATGGTAAGCCAGGTAGCCACGAATCTAAGTACGCAACATTGGACATACAAAGAGAAAAGCGATTCGGCTTCACTTGGAGTCACAAGACCAATGTCAACGGGGTCTATATCTGGGCCAACATCCAGATTTGCCCGGATGGGAACAAAATATGATTGCGCGGCAGGGTCGCTTCCCTCGGTGCTACTCGGCAGCATGCCTGTAGGTTGGGGAAATGTTGAAGGTGGCCATCTGTGTGCATCACGCGCCTCATTCGGCGATAGCTGTAGATCGGAGGCACGTGCAAGTAGTTGTAAAGGATTCTCTGCATCATCTAGGGAGAGATTATCGCCGAAATTGTTATCCCGGGGCGAATGGTATGTATAGGACCGATCCTCGGACTGGTCGTCTGCCTCACTGTGTAACTGCTGTTCTCGTGTATTGCTGAGCATCTCTTGAAGGTCTGATATGAGCTTTTGGGCCGCCTCGGACCCGGATGCATTGCTTCTCGGTCTCTTGATGGCCTGTTCAATCTGATGTAATGCTTTTTCAAGGCCTTTGCGTTTGCTGGTTTTCACCATGTCAGCTTGGGGTCCTCGGAAGATCAATGCGTTTAGCGCGTACTTTTTGACCCCTTTCTGTCTACCGACATGGTGGCTGGGTATGATGCATTCAACATTGGCCTGTTTGCATCTGCTACACGACGCATCATCTTGGCCTCGGTTGCAGCGGACCTTGCTTTTCCTACAGTTCAAGCAGGCGGCTTGTCGACCCTGAGATGCTTTGTTGGGATCCAACGCAGCGGAACTATCCATTGCCTGTTACGAGAGTTAGTTCATGCAGCCTTGTATTTTTCAGGTATATCTTTTTCGCTGTCGCGGCGTTCGTGGCTGGACCTAGGAAACATACCGAGTCATCAAAAGTTGTTTTCAGTGGCTGATGGTTGACGATCACCGAAACATATTGTACGCAGCATTTATAGACAGCGGCGGAACAACATCCGGAAGGCAACGGCCGTGGCTTCGGAAAAGCGTCTCAGCTATGCTAGCACTGTAAAATGATACCTACGAAAGGTCGACTGGATCGGCAGCACAAGGTACAGGCCTAGCAAAAAAGATGGGCGGGAGAAGAAAAAGGAAGATTAAGTTATGTTTGTTAGCCGGGTGGTGGTGAGTTGACTGACAGACTGACTTTGCGATGGGAAAAAAAAAAGAAAAAGAAAGCCCAACGCGGGGCTCGAACCCGCAGCCTTGAGATTAAGAGTCTCACGCTCTACCGATTGAGCTAGCCGGGCTTGCTCGTTGAAGAGGGCCTTTGATTTAAGCTCTATCAGCCTAATACAGCTACGAAGGGGTAATGAAGTATCATGTTGCGCCTATTGAGAATTCTTCAGTACACAGCTAGACAAGATGCCGTATTAATACAAATTGTCTGTGTCACTACGTTCAGAAAAACTTGCCTAATATCGACGATAGTCTCCCGAGATGAGCGTATGGAATATAAATTAAACGTCATATGTCTCAGGCATGTAATCTCTTTATAGCCATGCCCCCATAATCATTGATGGACAGAATATAGAGCACGTAACTAAGAGAACGTACCAATTCGAGAGAGAGGCCAAAATGACAATATAGGTGAAGCCGGTATATAGACCACTCGAACAGTGTCTGTGCAGAGAAAAAGTGCGTCTCTCCTGTAAGATTGACCATTGGATATCCTTCAAATGCATGGCTATGGATGTATGCAGCAAGTGCGATTTTCACAGGGATGTAATGAAAGAGATTGCGAGGACCAACAAATCATGTAAAGCAACTAGACCTCGACCCAGCATATACCCAACGCGCTGTTAGTTACTCCTATCGTTCGCCGAAACCGAAAGAATATCAACAGATAATGCCAAAGTGAACGTGACACTAGAAGACAATAGAAACGAAGTAGGTGAAATTCAGTTGGTTGCCCTGAGAGCGCGTAGCCTAGCATCCAACCCATCCTCAAGTTCAGTGTCGACCTGTTTAGGAGCCTTTACCTCCTCCTTAGGAGCAGCAGCAGCATCCTGCTCCAAAGCCATCCGGAGATCCACCCCAGCGTCATCAGCAAGTTGCTCCATCAAGCGATCCACATCGGCTTCACCCTCTGCGCCATTCTCCTGCAAAGAGACCCCTTGTGCAACATCCTCGATCGCACTGCTAGCAATCTTGAAATCTTCAGAGCGCGCCAGGAAATTGTTCGCATGGGAAACCAAGCTCTCAAGATTTACACTCTTGGAAGCAGCATCCAAGCCCCGTGATGCCAACGCTAGTGTTCGAGATGTGTCCCGAGTGCTCTGCGCAGCCTTGAGCTCGTTGATGATGACATCTGCTCGGGCAGCCTCCGCCTTGAGGGTCACCTGTCTGCGCTTCTCTCGTACGGCAGAAGCGGCATGAATGCGGGCGATCTGAAATTCGCGGTTTTTCATGGCCTTATCAGCCTTGGCCTTCTCGGATTTGAAGGTCGCTTCAGCACGGGCGGCCTCCTTTTTCAGTCGATTAGAGTGTAGCTAAATGCAGGACAATGATAACGTTAGTCAACTGATGATAATTCAAACCAAGGGTGCGCTCGTAAACGGGCAGACGCTGAAACGTTGCCGCAGAGAGGGGGAATAATGGGGCACCGCCTACCTTGACATTGGTGCGGGCTTCAAAGATAGGGTCCTTCCGAACCATGGTGACAAAGAAACTGGAGAGGGCGCGAGAGGGTATCTAAGCAGAAAGTGAGGCTTGGGCGCATGAGAGAGTTAGGAAGGTTGGGGTCAAAAGATACGGAGCGGGAGGCAACATCCAGCCCCGATCGGACAGACAGTCTAGATGGGAGGGCGGGGGACTGCGTGGCAACGTCATCCCGATTGCCGTATCCGCTGCGCGCGGAGGTGCCACTCCAACCTGCATGCCGACGACAATTGACAATAATGGTAGTAAAGTCTTACCGCTGATGCCTAAAGAACCGATGTGGTAACTACACTACTATAGAACCCAGCTGCTTGCAAATCCAACGGGATTTGAAATTAACCTGCTCATGGTCTGTCGGTCAAAAAAGCGAAAGAAGGATGATGAGCAGACAATCAACTGCTGTATTGAAATCTAGAATAAAATTATAAGGATTTATGATAATTTACAGCCGGAACCTCAACTATGCTTGCCCATAAGGAGAGACGTCAACGCCTCTTGGGTGCTTCGTGAACTCCATGAACTCCGTGTACTCCTTTGAGACTTGCCAATATTACTTCGCCGTCCAGTTTTCGCTGATTTCAAACCGCTCAAGATTCGTTTGCGTCGTCCCGGCTGTTCGAGTAGGTCTATCGTCCACGCCAAGGTCAACAAAGACTCCCAGCTCCATTGGACTCCGTTACCATCGACAGCCGATGCATCTCCCTGGCGAAACTGCTCGCTAACAGCCAGCTGCAATGCCCTGCCCGTCGCATCGCGAAGTGGACGCGCCAAGGCTGGGTTGCACGCTAGAAGTCTGGCGAGAAGTCTCATCCGGAAGACCGTGGGGCGGCTCGATGCCTTCGAAGCCAACAGATTCGGGGTCGAAATCAACCATAGAATCAAATGGAAATGCTGATAGATCTCCTCCGTCGAGAACGTCAAAGGCGAACCCGTCTTCAAGGACTGAAGAATCTGACCCAACGGGTGAATCAACGTTGAATAGGCGGTGGAAGTCATCGTCAGAAAGAGGAGCTGCAAGATCATCGGCAGCGTGAGGTTCAGGGTTTGAGCCGACGTCAAAGAGAGAGAGGGCACTTCCTTCTCCTTCGAGTCCAGCGACGGACACTGCAGGTCGCACAACACCGCTGCAGGATGTTGTGTCACGTCGGAGGACTCAGCCAGAGTGGAAGGCCTCAAGGTAGGGGAGTAGTCGGTGATAGAGGGTGTGGGGAAAGGAATCCGTTCAAGAGGGATTTCGTCGCGTTCTTGTTTGAATAGGGTAGGAGTTAGGGTAGGAGAAGCTGAGACGGGGGAGCCGGGCTTGGGAGTGTTGCCACGGGAGCCCCGGACCTCAGCAGATAGTTGAGCGACTTGTTGGTTTAAGCGATTGTTCTCAGCTTCCATCTGGGATAGTCGTTGCAGAAGGAACTGGTTTTGCTGTTCCATCTGAATCTTCTCATTTTCCAACTTCTCCATTTCGAGCCTCTTGCGCTCGCGTGATGTTTGTGCTGCCGCACGATTGCGAAGAACGCGCTCGATACGACGTTGCTCTTTCTCATCTTCAGTCTTGGCCCGTTTCCTTTATGTCGAATTAGCATCGTGTACATACATACATAGTCTATTATGGATATAGATGTCTTACCTTGGGGGCAAGTTAGTCTTCGGGACTGGCAATTCCTGGCCCCATGACTTTCTCTTCTTCACAGGCTTCTTCTCTTCCGCCTTGGTCTCCCCTGCCTGTACCGACGAGTCATCAAGCGACGTGTCCGCCGGGGACACTGTCAACAATGGCAACTCAGGCGTCGGGGAGCCGGCGAGGGAGTCGACTGGAGAGAATGCTTCTTCCATCATTTCAAGCGTGACAGGTGATTGATCTTTAATTGTGGATCAATCGATTTACTATGAGCCTTATCTTAACCGCACTGCAAGGGAGGACGGTGATGTAGGTCGACACAGCTTGTGGAGGACGTCTGCTTGCCCGTGTCACAGGAATACAGGCCACCGTGTCATAACGGGGGAAGCTGGGGGGGCCAGGCCTGGCCAAGTGGTGCCTGAGGTCAAGTGTACCAGACAACAAGAAGGATAGGGCCAAGAAGGACAGGTGTCCTTAAGAACCATAGAACAATAAAAAGATGGGAGTGAGGACGATTTCCTGATCGACTGTGAGAGCTGGGGGAGTGAGCGACTCTTTAAAAGGCCAACGTGGTCAGATCAGGCCGCCTCCCTGCAAGTAAGGGGGCGGAGTCATCGTCGTCAGCCAAGTTCCGGTAACCATTACAGACCCATTATTACGCCCCTATGCAACGTCCGGTTGGGTGAATATGCCCCTTTGCGCCCCAATTGACCGTACGGTAAATTACTCCAAGCACCGTGGTTCCCAGTAACTTTACACAGTAAGCATGCTTGAGAGGGAGGGACTGCGAAGGGAGAACCCCAAGTGTGTTTCCCCCTGCCACAATAGTGGAAAGCCCCCTTCTGGCCCCATCTACACACCTTCCGTCTCAAAACCCTCTCTACCTGCGACAAGTCTCGTTCTCAAGGTGGAACCCCCCTCCCCGAGTCTAAGAATGGCGCCACGGTGGATCTAATTCCACGAATTCACTTTGTCTGTCACCCAATGAACTACGCCACTCACGCTCTTTGCCCCCTGGAGACTCTTCAACCCAGCCCTGGATGCCACACTCAAAAGGAGTGCACAATAAGAGAGTCCAGACGCGTTCACACATGAATGGTAATGATAACATCAATGAAAAAAACAAAGCCTTACCGATCGGAAACAGTTTGTTACTATTGGAACTGTATATTCAGTAAGATTATACACACACAAAAAAAAAAAAAAGAGAGAAAGCAAAGGTTGTAATGCAGACAGAATACTACTAAGCTTACGGATTTAATTGCCAGACGAAGTAAGACATCGGCGGGGGTTGTTCAAGGAGAGGCAGTGCGGGAGATAAAAATGGCACAGGCAGCATCGGAAGAATAATCACCGTGGGGAATTGGACTAGCACAAAGTGGTATGGAGTAAAGTGCGGCAATCATCTACCAAGTATCTACGGAGTATGATCCGCAAGATTGCAAGTTGAGACCACAAGAGGGGCGCAGGGAGGCCACCGGCCGTCGAGACCTCCCTTTGGAGTCTGGAACTGCTATCTGTTGAATTTCCCGCATTCCTTGACCGACTGGGTTAGCGGGTGGAATGTACCAGAAACACGGGGGTCTCCCTCGACGGAGTAAATTATTGCGCATACACAGGACAGAATACGTACTATCTACCACTAGGCCCATGGTCCGATATCTCAATAATTAAAGTCCGACGGTCTCCCTTCGGCGTTATATTAATATTAGCTCCGACGCAATATAGACACTTGATTGAGAGACAGAGAGGGTGTGGGAGAGGGAGCAAAAAGCATCCCCGTCGTTAATTAATAACGCTTCTAGAAGTCATACATGCACTAGCCCTGTCAGGTTGGGGGCCGCCCCCTTCGCGCTTTGTTGCACTCCGTCGGAACGTAGGAATGGATGGTGTATGAATTATGGCATGCGCTTATGAGAACAATGTTATACGTGACTAACAACCTTTTCTTTCCAACTCTCCTCTTTTCCTATCCAAGAGTAGGGTTGAATCTTATCTTTCTTTCTTTTACTGTGCTCATCAAGTGAGAGCAGCTAGCTATCAAACTCATGTGTAACCGTGGGAATAATATGTGCCTAAGAAACAAAAGAAATGGATGTATCAAATCAATAGCCCAAAGATAACGCCCATGCCGGTCACGAGTCGTGATTGAATCCATAGCAAGATGCAAATTTTCGAAGTCACCAGGGGGCACCTCGTTTCGGCCCCCGGTTTATACTCTCAACGCGGTCCCGCATCATTTCGTCTATAACGTGACATCCATCGTATCATCACCGGCATCAATAGCACCTTGGTTCTCCGGATCCGGTGCAACCACACCCCGTCCTCTGCCTGCAAGCAATTCCCGCCTGACCTCGGGTCCGATATCCTTGTGTCCACGAACCAAAAGCAAATCCAAAAGCGCCTCACGCTGATCCTCGGTGATATCATTGCGGTAGCGTTGCGCAAACACCAACAGGGACTGGTGCCAAAGGACAGGAAGCTTGTAAACCTTGTTGGCTTCACGGGATCCATCGGTCATCATGGCATCATTGTCGGTAGCACGGAAGCGCAGGAAATGGAAAACGAGGGCGTCAATCACCTTGTAGGGAAGCGCATACTTCTTCTCCAGAAAAACGCGAATGAACATATTCACTGCACCAGTACTTTCCAGGGAGCGCAACGACTGTTCAGCAGCGAGATCACACATGCGGAGTAATGCTGCAGCTGAGTGCAAGACCGGGATAGAGACACGTGCAATGACAGAAGAGACAATGTGAGCTTCTCGTAGTGTGCAGGTTCCGCTCGAAACCAAGGGGAAGAGCAGGCCCTTGAAGAAACAGGCGGGCTTGTATAGCGCTTTCTTCAACGCATTGTAGGTGTGGACGTTGAGCTTCTTGGTTTCATGAATTTCCTCCCGGACACGGTCAAGGAGCACTGTCGAGATGAACTCCTGTGCGACTGCTGGCTTCGACGAAATGAAAATTCTGGTACCGGCATAGACAGCATTGGCCGTCCAAGACTCCGGCCGTGTAATATCGAGAAGGGTGGGCCAGTTGGGCACGGAAGGAAGGATCTTGAAGGGCTTCGGAAGAGGTCCAGATTTGTAGCGAGAAAGTATCATGCCGACCCTTTAATCTTTCTGTTAGCCTTGCGTGAATCGCTGCGCGGCGCAATCCATACTCACTTTTCATATACCTCCACCGCTTTCGCGGGTATTTGAACAGCATCTTCTGGTAATCCACCACCCTGAATGAAGGGCCCGCCGCTCTCTCCGCCCTGCTTCGCTTCATGTTCCGCGATCTTCTCCAGAATGAGATCGGCTAGGTTCCTAGTCTGACCTTCGGCCTCGGGCCCACTGGGGTTAAATATCGGGTCTTCGTCGCCGGCAGGAATGAACTTGTTGAACATATCAAGGTCATCGGGGTCAACCTCCTACTCGGCATATCAGCAAAAAGGGTTCCCATAGATTTTTGGTGCAGTCCGGTGACATACGACTTCCTCAATTTCCTCATCGTCGTCCCATTGGTCGTCTTGGAATTTTTCGTCATCGGAAAAGGCCTCATCGCCTTCCAGGCGAGACTCAAAATCAAAGGCTGCGTTCGTCTTATCAGCAGCGGCGCCTGCTGTGGCTCTTTGTTCTTCAGCATCCTCATCAGCCAGTTCCTGTCCGATTTGCAGGATCTTCCGGGACATCTTCGCATCAACGAAGCGCTCCCCATCTTCTTGCTCATCTTCCTGACGAGACTTGCGACTGGACTTTTTGGCCGATTGAGTTCTTAGATGACCAGCAGTCATATAATCCTCAGCTAGAGGATTGTGCCGGCGGCCGGCGGCGGAGCGAGAGGATGTTGCCTTGGGCATGGTGACGGTGCCCCTTTGGATGTGTATATATTAGTCCGAGATTTGTATGATACCAAAAGGCCCAGCTAGCACCAAATCCACCAAATCACCGGATGATAGGCACTGCGAGCGTGGATCGTCTCTCTCTCTCGGGTATCAACCTCCACGAAAATGTGTGTAAATTTCCAGGTCATGTGATTCAAATTTTTGTCGAGCTCTTTTTTTTGGCGTCGCCAAAGCGGAGTCGATTCTCACCGCTTTGTGAAATCTATATATCATTGGATAATACATTATACCGCCTTTGCCCCTCTTATCCCGGGGCACCACTTGGCCCTCGACACCTGCCGGCAATATTGTAGCTCACCGCCTTAGATCGGCGGCAAGATTACTTTCCGCTCGTCGCATGCAACTTGCGCATAAACAACAGACATGTGATGCAGGAGGGGCCGCGAAGCTTGCAAGGAGAGTTCAACCAACAACTAATTGACCTTATACAGCTGTCCAAAAATTGATTGCGGCCCATTTCATACATCCAACGAGCTCGTTCAAAGTCGTGTTGACCAGCAGCCCTTGTGGTGAGTCCCAGGGCACTCCGAACCCACTTCCGCGTTCCTCATTTCCAACTATCTATATGGTGTTCAGGCATAGTACATATGGTACCTTCAACATCCCTTGGAGAATCAGCTGTGAACCCAAAGATGAGAATACAAAGATAGCTCTGGATTTCACTAGCTTCACATGTGATTCTGACCTTCTTTGACTTTTTCCACAGGCATTATTGCGACCCCGGGTTACCCTTGATACTGTAACATCACCTCCACTCATCATATACCAAGGCTTCTAGTACTCTTGATAGAGTTGCTCCACTCCGAGGCCTGTACATTCAATACGAAAAAGCTGTGGTTGCAGTATATCCAGCTGGCTTTCCCTGTCGTTGCTGATACCGAATCATATGCGCAAATTACACCGTGTTGGGCTCCCACAAACAAGTATTCCACATTGACTTCTATCATATCTGATATCACTCCGGATTATACGCTCTCACACTGAGCATTGCCCTAGTTGGGTCAAAATAACAATGGCTTCCACACAACCGGCTGGGTCCTCTGCACCCTCGTCTAACCTGAACTCTCCGATCTTGCCTCCTGGAGGAACACCATTCTTCACCGGCTCCTTACCCGATTCTAATGCGAGATCTTCTCCCATACCTACTAGTAATGCCCCTGCGCAAGCTGATGGATCGAAATCGAAACGCACCAAACGTGATAGCCGCAAAAAGCGTGAGGCCAAGGGTCTGGATCAGGAAAGCATGCCACCGAAGAAGCGAGCAGTTGCTGTCCAAAACACTGCACTTCCCAGCTCGGATCTCAGCATACTAAGGCCTCTCCTGTTGGCAGAGCCTCGCTCATCCGATCTGTTACCCCCACAACCCCGGCAGCTGAACTTTGTCAACCGAAAAACATCAGACGTTATCGGTCAGAGCTGGGACTTTTTTGAGATTGTCGATAAGCTCACCAATAAGAATGGGTTTCGTTATAGCTACGCCATAGCTGATCCAAGCTTTCCGCATATCAAATACCGTCAGACTGATGTCCAGCCCTATCACGCCCGATTTAGTTTCGAAGACTCTCCAGCTGCCATACTCTTCAGTAAGGACGCTCTCGCAGTTACTTCTAATGAGCCTTGGCATACGGCACGCGCCAATGTCTGCGCGCGCGAGGGATCCTATTACTACGAAGCGCGCATTATCAGTGGTGTTGTGAATAATTCGCCTGCTCCCTCTTCTAATAGCAATGGAGGCTTACCGTCCAGGGGGCATGTGCGTCTTGGTTTTGCACGAAGGGAGGCAGACCTCGATGCCAACGTTGGTGTTGACTGTTATGGCTACGGTATCCGTGATGTGAATGGTGAGGTCGTCAATCGGATGCGGTGTGAATACTTTTTTCCAAAAGGCGAATCTATTCGTGAGGGCGACGTTGTCGGCCTTCTAATCACCCTTCCGCCACTCTCTCTCCACAAGAAAGTTGTAGAGGGAACTTATGAGTCAAGTGCAGATGGCGAGGTCTCATCACCAAGCTCAGAAGCCCCGTCAGTCACGAATATAGTTCGTGACCGCATTCCTTTCCACTACAAATCAGACTTTTGTTGGCAACAGTCGAACGTGTTTCCAACAAAACAGCTACGCGACTACGCATTCAATCTCAAAGAAACCCCTACGTTTGGGCCTCCATCTCCGTTCAATGCCGAGGATGCATCTTTGCGAACGTTACCCGGTTCAAGCATCACAATATACAAGAACGGTGTAAAGATGGGCACTCCTTTTGAAGAACTGTATGCTTTCTTACCACCGGCCAGCCGACTCGCCAATGGCACAAACAACTTGGGCATCGGCGAGCGCGAGAATGCAGATGACGGAATGATCGGTTATTATCCTGCTGTCAGCTGCTACGGCGGAGGGGCGGTTGAATGCCGCTTTGACGGGCCATGGTGGGTGGGGCCACCATCTCATACGGACAACGGCGAGCCAGTCCGGGGCATCGGCGAACGCTTCAACGAACAAATAGTTGAGGATATAGTTGCCGATATCGTGGACGAGGTTGAGGCAATGTGCGTCTGGGGCGGAGTAGACGGCAACGTTGTCAACAATGCAGAGATCGATGGCTCTGGAACTGGGGCAGTTGGTGGCTCCGAGGTGTTGAAAGGTGGTGTTAGTGCGGCTTATGAGTCTGCTATTCCTCCAGTTGCGGACGGCCAGAGTGAGTCTGCTGCTAATCCCGCTGGCAATGGCAACGAAGCGGGAAGCGTCATGGACCTAGATCCAGGCCAGGCCGCGCTTGAGGACGCCACGCGCGCCAATGCCCCGGTTCCAGAAGCACCCCAGAATACGATTCCCGACACGTCAACTGGGGATGGCGATGTTGAAATGTCTTGAACGCCATACCGTCAACGCCTCGGCCTCTGGTTTCGTGATTAGGCCTAGGATTCCTAAGCCAGTCTACTACACCGGCCTTGCCTCAGGGTGGTTGGTGTTGGAATGATCTACTCGTGACAAAGGCACATTACGGGGCTAGTAGACAGTATATTACGACTTCGAACTCTGCACAAATATACATAATGTGCTAGTCTGCAATAGTCCCCTCTTTTGCGCTCCGAATCCTGAGCCCTGCTCAAAATTGCAAGGTTTTTATACGAACTACAGCGACACCTCTTGGCGATAATGGCGCACAATCTCTCTATTATATTTATTTTGAACTGTATACATATAGACATCTATAATCGGGGTCTGGGGTATCCGCGTTTATGGGAACCAAAAATTTTCATAGGTGCCTGCCCTCGAGCAGCTCGGCAACCTTTAACACAAGCTCATCATCACCGTATTGGCCAATTACTTGGATTCCAGCCAGATCTCCATCCTCGGCGCCATCAGCATTTTCTGTAGTGACCGGCACAGATATAGCCGGAAGACCTGCCAAACTAGCAGGCACAGTAAATACATCATTCGTATATGCCTCCAAAGGCGAAGTTGTCGCATCAGGTCCTATAAGGCTTGAAATGCGTGGTGGTGATGATGGCGCTGTCGGGCAAATGAGAACATCTACACCGGTGTCTGCAGAACCCGACTTTGATCCAAGTTGCGAGGAAATCAATGGCTGGCATGCCCTAAACGCGGCGTTGAAGTCATGTTGGACAAGGCGGCGAACCCGCTGTGCTTGAATGAAGTAGTTATCCATAGCGTCAGCGCTTAGGCTAAATGCCCCGAGCAAAATTCGTCTTTTGACTTCGGAGCCGAACCCATCACCTCGTGTTTTCGCATATAGATAACTTTCTGATGATGCATTCCCGTCTGGTGCTTCGGGGCGGCTTCCGTACCTGACGCCATCATACTTGGCCAGGTTTGAGGATGCCTCAGCAGGCGCGAGTACGTAATATGCCGATAAGGCGAGTTTGGTCGTTGGAAGGGACACCGTTTGGATGCTATGGCCCTGTCGTTGCAAATAGGCCAGAGAGCGAGACCACGCATGTCGCGCAGATGGAGACAACTCTGATATGTTGTACTCGAGAGGGACTCCTATCCTAAGAGGAGAACTTGTCCGAGATGCCAAAGCAGACATTTTAAGATGTGAGTCTATCCGTGACCGACTGGAGGGAGAAAGGTTAGTGGGATCGCGTGAATCATGCTGGTTCACGACGCCTATGTTTCGAACACGAGTTAGTGAGTCGAGACGCAAAGAGACGAGAGAAATTCCGACATAATCAAGACATACCGAAGACATGGCGAACGCTGGCCACGTCCCTTCCCAGTACACCGACTGTATCCAGTGAATTAGCGTACGCAACCACTCCCCAGCGAGAGACCAGCCCATAAGAAGGCTTGAAGCCGACTGTTCCCGTATATGCTGCGGGTAATCGCACGGAGCCGCCTGTATCAGTTCCCAACGCTCTGTAAATGTTCCAGCAATGTTAAGCCAAACCGTTACTCGTCGTATGATTCAAGGCTAATCTGGAGAGTTACATACGCGTAACATTGGGCTGTCGCAACAGCAACCGCACTTCCACCCGAACTACCACCGGCTGAGAGGTATTCTGCATCCTGGCCACGGCGCGAGCTTCTGACAGGGCCAAAGTTTGAATGAATAGAGTGGGAGCCCATTCCAAATTCGTCGAGATTAGCTTTCCCGGCCACGACAGCGCCTGCATCCTCCAATTGTTGAACGACTGTCGCGTTAAACGGACTGACGAATTTGTCCAGAGCGTTTGAAGCGCATGTTGTTGGAAGGTCGCGTGTGCACATATTGTCCTTGACGGCAACCAACCGGCCATCTATCTCAGATTTAGGCGTCCCTATTTGGCGAAGCGAGTTGGTCAGCTCTGAATAAAGCGAGGATTGGTTTCAATGCAGCCTTCATACTCACCCCGGGTGCGCCGCGCATCCGCATCTCTCACACGTTCCAACCATTGTCCTGACTGATGTAGGGTGGTAATTAGCGCATTTAGAGCCGCATGAGAGCCCTGATTAGCCAAGCACTTCTCGGCTTCCCGCAGGAGCGACATTGGGTTTTGTAGCAGTATACAAAAGGGTTCCACCCAGGCAATGGAAGCCTTCTAGAAACTGAGATCAATTAATTGTATGCTGCGGACATCCCCACGGGCGGTGAGCAACACAGGGCGGTGAGTGTTCTCTCGTCATAGTATCATACTGTACGATACCATACCAGTGCTCAGGAGCTTCTCGAGAAGCTCCAGCTCCAGCTGAGTAGGGACTTGACATAGTAGACAAGGACCAAGATCACTACCGCACAGTCAAGATTGCATGCGATCAGCTTTCTAGCAAGATCTCTCGCATCTGACTATATCATTGCCCGTAAACATCCGGTGACAGAACTCAGTCCAGAGGGCCAAAATGAATACCCGAATCGGCGTCTTCACCTCCGTCGGCCCGAGGGCTGTAGGGACGACGTCATCAGGAATTTCCTTGCGACTGCATCGTTGTAAAAACCTCATCTTCTCCCTCATTTCACCAGGTTCATTTGACTATACCAGTATATCGTGGTTACAATGATTTCTGGAGGTATGATTCGGTCTGCCGTGAGGGCTTCCGGAAGCCACACTGCGTGCTCCCTCAGAATCGGAGCTGCATCGCAATTAGCCTCAGTGAGCAAGCGCCAATTGCGGGGATTATATCCTGATACTCAGGTTGGGGATAGAAGATGGATTTCAGTCTACGGGTATACGCAATCGAAGGCTCTCATCTACTCGCGCTACGGAGAGCCGAAGGACGTTCTGCAGTAAGTCTTCGCACCGCGTCCAATGCTGTATTTCGGTGACCCGGCTATTGCACTTGGGAACGAGGCATCTGACAGCCATCCAGGCTTCACAAACACTCCATCTCCGCGCCTCATGGTACTCAAGTCAACCTTCGCCTGCTTGCTGCGCCGCTGAATCCTGCCGACGTGAATCAGATCCAGGGTGTATACCCGAGCAAGCCACCGTTCCAATCGACACTCGGTACACAGGAGCCGGCGGCTGTCGCTGGAAATGAGGGCGCATTCGAGGTCTTGTCCACCGGCTCTGGAGTGAAAACCCTCAGCAAGGGTGACTGGGTTGTCATGAAACAGACTGGACAGGGCACCTGGCGCACTCACGCTCAGCTGGATGAATCGCAGTTAATCAAGATTGAAAACAAGGACGGCTTGACCCCACTTCAGATCAGTACTGTTAGCGTCAACCCAGTGACAGCTTACCGCATGATCAAAGACTTCTGCGACTGGGACTGGATGCGTGCTGGAGAACACTGGTTGATCCAGAACGGGGCAAACAGCGGTGTTGGACGCGCTGCTATTCAACTTGCGCGAGAGTGGGGTATCAAGACCCTCAACGTCGTCCGGGAACGGAAGACTCCAGAGGAGACAGAGGCTCTGAAGAAAGAACTTACAGATCTCGGTGCGACTGCGGTAGTCACAGAGGCCGAATTGCTTTCAGGCGAATTCAGGAACGTTGTACATGAGCTCACGCGCAAGGGGCAGGAGCCCATCCGCCTCGCTTTGAACTGTGTGGGTGGAAAGAGTGCCACCGCACTGGCAAAAACACTCGCACCAGGTTCGCATCTGGTCACCTATGGGGCCATGTCGAAGCAGCCAGTTTCTCTGCCGTCGGGATTGTTGATCTTCAAGAACCTCGTTTTCGATGGCTTCTGGGTCAGCAAATGGGGTGACAAGAATCCACAGCTGAAGGAAAATACCATCAATGATGTATTGCAGCTGACACGGGCTGGTAGATTTAAGGATATTCCCGTTGAGGAGTTCAAATGGAAGTGGGACACGGAGGGCTCCGAGCTCGTAGCAGGCGTGCAGGAAACCCTCAGCGGTTACCGCAGCGGCAAGGGCTTGCTCAGGTACGAGGAACAGGAATGAACTAGGTGAAAGCTAATCTTCAAACTCGGGAGTTCCGGTTAATCTGAATCTGTACAGTACGCTTTCTTGGCTGTCGAACGACTTCGGTTGATGGATAGCTACTATATTTTATCCATGGCTATTTCTGCCAGTCAAGTGGGAAACCCCAACATACCAACTAGTATTCTCTATCTAGAACTCAGCTAGTTTCATTGCTTGTGCGCTCAATAGTAAGAACACATCTAAGAGAATAGTAGCCCATTGGTCGTCTAGCACAATTTGCATGTACACGCCAGCCACCAACTTAAAGGCGATTCGCGGTGAACGCTCATACCTCCTCGCAGGGCCAGTTGCCTTTTATCCAGTCCATTATCAAGCCAGTCAATGTTGTGTTTGGCATATAGACGTCGCTGTCGCGAGAAAAATCTGCATTAATTCCCGCGAATGGGGCCACTGCAGCCACGTTAGACTCAATGAAATCAATATAGACCAGGTCTACTGTTTCCGGGGGTTCAGATGCATCCCAACGAGGTGTTCCCCTGATAACATTCGGCACCCGGAAGAAGTCGATCGGCGAGTGAATGGTGTCATCACCATCATTGCCTCCATCATCATGGGTAGTGTACCCGGGAATTAAGTCAGGCTCAGCATATCCACTACTCAGGAACGGGACTTGGTTGGTAAGGAAGCCAGCGCTTGATCGGCCACCACTGTTGCCAAATACACCACGGGTATACGCTGATTGCTCCGGGGGAGCAAGCTGCCAAGTCAACTTGTCTAATTGGGGGCCCTCAGTCAAGATTCCCGGTCCCCTATTTAGCACATCGGCGAGATAGTAGGCTCGGGAGTAAGGGATATCTTTCACATAACGGAAGCCGCTTGTGAATGGGGAGACGATATATGTATTATCCTTTGTAAAAGGGCCCTTAAAGATGTCGAAGCGGATGGCACCGGTGTTGACTATAACAACTGCTGGCTTCCCAGCACGAGATACATCTCTCACGGATAGGGGTAGCACTTCTGTCTCCAGCCAGGTATAAATATTACCCTCACCTGGATATTTTGCTCGGGACATAAAGAGATCGTGTGGGGCACACCCGTACACTTCATCCAGCTGAAGAGCGCTTCGGGATTCTTGAATGAGTCGGGATACGTTTTGTCCATGTTCCGTGGGGAATGTGGTCTCATTCAGGCCAGTGTGATGATAGAATGACAATAAGTTGTTATCGATATATTTCCGATTGAAATGGAAACGGTCCCATGGCCAAAGGGAAGACGCTAAGGCGGACTGTCCGGGCTGACGGTGGGTAGAGAGGCCACTAATGGACATAAAACCGATCGTTTCCATGAAGCGACCGCTGGCCAAGCCGTAGGACATACGATCATACTTTGCGTAATCACGGATGTGGTAATGGCCGCCAAAGAATTGGATGGGTGTACTCCAGCGAAGCGACCTGATTTCTCGCCATATGTCCCAATACTCTTCCGAGTGTACGGGGGCATGGCCGATTACCAAAAAGAGGTCCACCTCGTGGTCCCTGATAGCTTCCTGAAACCACGCCTCCTTGATTGTCTCACCCACAGGCCGCACGACGGTGTTGTTAGCATTTCCTTTGAAATCGAAGAGAAATCCAAAGGCCACTATGCGGATGCCCAATTGCTTGGTGACGATCTTCGTGAAGCGAGGTGCCAATGGCCTGAATGCGTTTGTCCGTGGGTCATAGAAGTCGATGTTTGATGCAAGATAATGTCCGGCGAAATTGAGTGTAGTGGTAAAGAACTCGGCTGAAGCTGTGGATTCCTTATACAACTCATGATTGCCCGATGACATCAGGTCGATATGCTGCTCTCGCAGAATTTTAGAGATGTAGATGCCTTTGGGATCCGATGAGTCGTAAAGTCCATTTCCTTCTACTCTATCGCCGGTATCAATGACTAGTAGATCCACACCCATAGACTCTGCTTTCTCGCGCATGCGGGTAGCAAAGGAGATATAGTCACCCCAGTCAGCGGAGTACGAGGGTCTATAAGGGATCGGAAATCAGTAAGGCCTGGAAATGGCTCCGAAGAAGACTTCAGCGCCATACTCTTGTAAATGACCAGCTAGCCAGCCATGAGTATCTGTGGTGTGAAGAAAATTGAGCTGGCCCCATTTCAGGTCACGCAAAGGAGCCTCGATAGGCTCGGGCGCGGTCGGTTGTACAGCACGGACGAAGGGGGACAGAAAGAAAAGAAGGAAGGTCACGGATGCAGAGAAGAGCAGATAGTAGTTGCTGGACATGCTCATGCTCATGCTCCGTCGGGGACGTTATTGACGGAAATAGTAGCAGATATAGTGGATTGAATATCTAAATACGAAGCAGTAGTACTGATTGACAACGAGCAGTAACGTAACGAATGACACGCGCAAGTGGACTCTCTCTCTCTCTCTCTAAATACGAGAAGGATGGAAAGAGAGTTATATCAGTTAGCCAGGCAACAACCGTGGTGGTAGATGAATAAGTAAGTACCTTGATGGTTTACGCACCGACACCAAGCTTATCACGAATAGGCACTAAGTCCGGAGTAGACGGGATAGTTTAGATACTAGATAGATAGGAAGGAGGACCCAGAAGTGCTTATCGGAGGGAAAGATCCCGACGAGACGCCAGGGAGAGACAGAACGGAGGCTACGGAAGGAGGCGACCGGTGAGACCGTCAGGAAAGAGCAAAACCGCAACACGGCTTAGTCAGCGCTAAGCCCAACAAGTCCCTTCGAAGCTTCTCACCAAAAACCAACCTTCCGCCGAAACCTCGTCGACGAAAAAGATTCCCCGAACCCCCGAAAAAGAGTGACGAGCCTCCCCATCGGCTGTTCTTTCTTCCTTTGATACCAATTGTCTAACAGACCGGTATTTCCGCGAAGTAATTCTCCTTTCCTTTACTCTTGCTTTTTCTTCTCCCCCTTCTTCTTCTTCTTCTTCTTATATTATATATCTCACAGTCCGGCCATGGCTGCTCCCCGACTTTTCCGCCCAGCAGCTCGTCTGCTTTCTTCGCGCCTTACTTCGGCTCCCCTTCGCCCTCAGACCGCATGCGCGCCCTCAATTCTTCGCTTCCGGGGATATGCTACGGAATCTGGAACCAAGGAGGTCACTGTCCGTGATGCTCTGAACGAGGCGCTCGCCGAGGAGCTGGAGAGCAACAAGAAGACTTTCATTCTTGGAGAGGAGGTTGCGCAGTACAACGGAGCGTATGGCACCCTGTCCCCCGTGTGAATTGGCTGCAGTCCATGGATCGCATATCTGAATTCGCTCTCCTTCTATAGTTACAAGGTAACGAGGGGTCTGTTGGACCGCTTCGGTCCCAAGCGGGTTATTGACACCCCCATCACGGAAGCCGGTTTCTGTGGTCTCGCCGTCGGTGCTGCTCTTGCTGGACTGCACCCCATTGTGAGTTCCCCGATTTGTGACCTTTGTATATCCCTTTGGATATTTAAGGTTCATCAGATGCAAAGTGCACAGTATACTAAGACTTGCTGCCCGATATTTAGTGCGAGTTCATGACCTTCAACTTCGCCATGCAGGCTATCGATCAGATCATCAACTCTGCTGCCAAGACCCACTACATGTCTGGTGGTATCCAGCCCTGCAACATCACCTTCCGTGGACCGAACGGTTTCGCCGCTGGTGTTGCCGCCCAGCACTCCCAGGACTACTCCGCTTGGTACGGCAGTATCCCTGGTCTGAAGGTTGTCGCTCCCTGGAGCTCGGAGGATGCCAAGGGTCTGTTGAAGGCTGCCATTCGCGATCCTAACCCCGTCGTTGTTCTTGAGAACGAGTACGTGGCCCCCGTGGAAGTATCGGAGTATTTGTGGAATGTTTTTGAACCTGACAATAATTGCATAGGCTGCTGTACGGTCAGGCTTTCCCTATGAGCGAGGCCGCTCAGAAGGATGACTTTGTTCTTCCTATTGGCAAGGCCAAAATTGAGCGCCCCGGAAAGGACTTGACCATTGTCACCCTCTCCCGCTGCGTTGGACAGTCGCTCAACGCTGCTGCCCAGCTCAAGCAGAAGTACGGTGTTGACGCTGAGGTCATCAACCTTCGTTCCGTCAAGCCCCTCGACGTTGAGACCATCATCCAGTCGCTCAAGAAGACTGGTCGCATCATGTGCGTCGAGTCCGGTTTCCCCATGTTCGGTGTCTCCTCTGAGATCCTCGCTCTCTCCATGGAGTACGGTTTCGACTACCTGACTGCTCCTGCCGTCCGTGTCACTGGCGCCGAGGTCCCCACCCCCTACGCCGTTGGTCTCGAGAACATGAGCTTCCCCCAGGAGGACACCATTGTCAGCCAGGCTGCCAAGCTGTTGCGCCTGTAAAGGATGAGCCGTTGTGTATGAACCGACGGTGAAGAAAATCTGAATTAATAAAATCATGTGTCTAGTACCCTATCATTGTTACAGCCATTTCTCCTATTTCCTCATATTACCTCGTTCTCCCACTTTCCTGATCTTGTACGACTATACAACACAATCAACGTTATTCTGCATTCTTAGAGAAGCTAATGTGCTCGGGCATGGTTGTATTCTTTCGTAACATCTTAAAATCGCATCTGGCTTTGCTCATGTTTGGCGTATGCCACCACGAACGAGCCCGCAGTGAATTTGGGCTTGCTCCTCCGGTGCAGTTGCTATTCCCAGGTGATCGACTTCGGCATAGGAGAAAGACGGTTGAAAGCTACCTCCATGCCTGTAATGTCTTGCTTCTGGATAGCATTCTCCACATACGTAATGGTCTCATCAAGTCTTGAGGAAAGGAAACAGGGATAGTGATCGGCCATTTGACGTCACAGCACATAGTCGTTGTGATCGCCATATCCGTACTGTGCTCCGCGTGGTGCTCCTTCAGATAAAGGATGTCTCTAAGGGAACGTTCCTAGCACCAGCGCATGCAGGGGAACAACCGGTGGGATTTCGAGGATTGTAATACCCCCCATTCATGCCTCTATTCCGGTCGTATTCTTCATCTGTATCGCTCTCCGCCTGATCAACCTGCATGTTTTCGCGCTTTGACGATTGGCTCCGAGCGCGCCGCAGACTCTCATCATCTGCTTCTGGAAGTTCACTGTCTTCATCGTCACCGCCTAGGACGTTTTTCTTCGTGGGAGCAGCAGGAGCCACAGGTCCTTTGACAGTGGTAAAGGAACTTTTGAACCCCCCCTTTTTGAACCCTCCCCCACCTCCCGTACTGCTCCCTACTCCAGATCCAGTTCCCGTAGTCGATAATGAGGCAGCTTTGGGGGTGTCGAGGACCCTTAACCCGGCCTCGGCGTCAGCCTTCCGTTCGGCTCTTCTGGCCTTCTCGGCGGCATTGGGGTCCCGAGATAATTGTTTGAGGTCTTGAAGACGCTTGCGGTGTTGATGGTCATATGAAGAAATATGAGCCTCATATTCTGGATGGCGAGAATAGGACTTGTTGCAGAGCGTGCAGGTGAAGGAGCTCAGAGCGGAACGCGCAGATTCGGTCTAGTTTGAGATGCGGTGGTCCTTAGTTAGCCTGGAAGCACGAGTCTTCATATCTCTGAAACTCATTAATCTAAGCCCTGAATCGCACCTTGGGAGTGGGATTGGTAAAGCCTCGCTGTATATAGAGACGCATTGGTCAGCCTTGCAAGATATGGGAACTTGTTGCTATGGAAATATATAGCATCTTTAATAGGGGGGATGTTCGGAATCTGGGCACTTGCAGGCGCCATCGTTCTATGAGAAGTACGCAGAATCGCTTTGAAACGTTTGTCGCAAACAGCGAAAAAGCGTGTGTACGGGTCTGGGGGTTTGCTGCTTGCTCGCTGAGCAATGATGGTTTGAGCCTGTAGTTGTTGTATATCGGCGACTTCGCATCGAGGTTGATACTTTCTGCCGAAAGAAAACCACCGCCCGCGGGAGAGGGAGCTTGAACCGGTGTTCGATAAGATACCGTCAATACCGGTGCAATACCGTGACTACGGAGGTCGACCATAGCGGGCCAATCATGAGGCCTCTAATACGGCAGATCATCGCCTAGCAGTTCTTTACCAAGAAAGTGTCGATGGGATCAAGTTCCAAGGAAATCTGCTTTCCCAAATTACAGCGAGGAATTGTTGTTCAACGACCATGCTTTGAGTCCAGATAATCCCATCGCAACCGGTTTGATCGCAATATTCGACCAGCCCTAGTTCTGGCTCCTGGCGCGGACATACATAACATAGCACCTGGTAGCCGGGTGCTGTTTTTTTTTGAGCCATGGCTGCCTCGAAAGAAAGCATGCCATCCAAACCAGAGGATATCGAAACGCGCTCCATATTTTCAATGCAAGAGTTAGACCCATCACCAGTACAAGATGAGTTTCCAGACCTTGAATCTGGTGACTACTTCCCCAGAGAACCAAGTCCGCCATCGGCACGCGAGCCCATCGCCGGGGGTGGTCGGTTCTCGTCGCTCAAGTTAGGCCTTCGCGGACATAGTTGGGATTCCTGGTGTATGGCTAAGTATATGCAAGCTATTGTGATAATAGCAAGAATTTACTCTTTTCCTAGAAGCTAACAGTGGCCTCAAATTCTCCAGTATCTGCGTTCCAACGATACTCGACGTATCCACCGACCCTATTCTTTGCATTGCATTGGGCCAATACCTCTCTCATCCCTCTGGCTACTCGATCTGTGCCCGACAGCGAGAGCTTCCTGCTTCTCACCAGACCCGTCTATCAATCTCCGGGCCTCGAACATCTCGTTCTGACCGCGCCTGTTCTGATTCATATTGCGTCTGGAATTGCTTTGCGCAACATCCGCTCCGCACGGCGGGCTCGACTCTATGGCGCCGACACAAGGTCACAGAGACACTCCTTGACGTTTTGGCCTCGGATGAGCCTCCAAGCTCGGTTAGGATATTCCTTAGTTCCGTTACTCGGCGTCCATGTGCTCGTCAACCGCATCACTCCGTTGATGGTTGATGGGGGAAGCTCGGGAGTCGGGCTGGGTTATGTGGCCCACGGCTTTGCACGGGCCCCCGCACTCTGGAATCTGTACTATTTGTTATTCGTCGCCGTTGGGGTGTGGCACTTCGTCGGCGGCTGGGCTGCATGGATGGGCTGGAGAGTGACAACGGTCCGGAAGGAACGTGACCGAAAGAAAGGCTCCCTAGAGGGTTATCTGGGAGCCTCGGAAAGTGAGCAACGACTCCGCCGACAGAGGAAGATGTGGTGGACGGTCAACGGCATTGCCGCGGTGGGAGCATCCATATGGCTTGCAGGTGCCCTGGGAATCATCGGGCGTACGGGGCAGGGTTATGGCTGGGAGGCCAAGGGATGGAATGAGATCTACAGCCAGGTCCCCGTTATTGGGTCCTGGCTCTGACCCAATTCATTGGACAAAGATAATTCTTTTGACACGGGAGTAACGGCCGATATGATTGTATAATAAGCAAGAAGCAAGACTTAATGTTAATGACAGCGCCGATCGAATGGGAAGACGGAATGAAATGAATTTATAGTTAACTAATTATGTGGTAGATAGTAGGGAGTGGTCCGTGCTTGACTGATCGGAAAGTTGGCGGGCGGAAGTCAAAAAAAGTTTCCGACAAGCCAAAAAAGACGAAAGGACTCGCGGTTCATTCATTGCCTAGCCCAGAACCAAGTCACCAACAGGTCGATTACAGAGTCCGGGTCCATGAGCCCACACCTTGGTGTCCTTTATCGTGCTCTCTCAATCAGTTTCAGATTCCGCAGTGATCGCGCAATTGCCCGCTGCACCGCCCTAGGAATCCAACAACGCCCGCCACTCCGCCGATTCTACTCTACCCGCTCATCGGCTGCGGAGATGGCTGAACAATTGATACAGTATGACGGCACTGAGTACAGAGCAGTGAAGGAAGGATTGGCGTACATTCTGAACCCCCCGGCTCAGGCTCCCGGTACGAAAAGGGATCGCAAAGCTGACGAGCAATCGCAATCAGTCTTCTACAACCCTATTCAACAATTCAACCGGGACCTTAGTGTCCTTGCCATTCGCGCATATGGGGAGCATTTGCTGGCCTTGAAGAAACAGAAGGCCGAGAAGAAGAAGCAAAAGGCTGCGGCGAACGACTCCGCGAAGGGCAAGAAACGCAAGAGAGAAGAGGTCGATGGCAAGGAACAAACGCAGGATCAGAATCAAGGCCAAGGGGATCAGACTGCAGCACAGCAGGCAGAGCAGGACACGGCGCCATCTTTTACGATTCTAGACGCCCTCTCGGCTACGGGTCTGCGTGCCCTGCGATATGCTTCGGAGATACCTTTCACTTCTTGCGTCGTCGCAAACGACCTGTCGCCCTCGGCCATTGAATCCATGAAGACGAACATCAAATACAACAGTCTCGGCGAAAAAATCCGTCCCAACACCGGGGATGCGCGCTCTTACATGTACAGTCTTCTAAACCAACAAGCCAATACCCCAACTGTCGAGAGCCACCTAGGAAAATTCGACGTGATTGATCTGGACCCTTACGGCTCTGCTGCACCTTTTATGGACGCTGCGGTTCAGGGAGTCAAGGATGGCGGTCTTCTTTGTGTTACCTGTACCGATGCAGGTGTCTGGGCCTCGTACGGGTATCCCGAGAAGTCGTTCGCCCTATACGGCGGAATCCCAGTCAAAGGACCGCATTGCCATGAAGGTGGCCTGCGTCTCATCCTGCACGGGCTTGCAGCCTCCGCTGCGAAATATGGTCTCGCGATTGAGCCACTTCTCTCCCTATCGATCGACTTTTATGCCCGAGTCTTCGTCCGTGTCCACCGCTCTCCGGCCGAAGTCAAGTATATCTCTGGAAACATGATGATGGTCTATAATTGCGATGCTGGCTGTGGCGCGTGGTCAACTCAGCCTATCACCCAGACGAAACAGAAGCTGGACAAGAAAGGAAATCCGTTCTACCACTTCGGCTTCGCTCAGGGTCCGGTAGCAGATAGTCGTTGTGGCCATTGTGGCTCTAGGACTCACCTCAGCGGTCCTATGTGGGCTGGCCCTCTTCACAATGCTCAATTTATCCGCAGAATCCTTGATATGCTCCCCCAGGCAGATAGGAACGTGTATCACACGATTGACCGGATTGAGGGAATGCTGACTACGGCAATGGAAGAAGATCTGAATCTAGAAATTTCTAGTGACGAAGCAAACCAAACACCTACTGGCACAGTTGGTGGGGATATCTCCGAGAACGAATACTCTGCAATCATCCCGCGGCTCGATCCCGCCGCCCGGGAAGAATACCCCTTCTACTTCAGTCTTAGCGCCTTATCCAAAGTCTTGCATACATCCACAATTTCCATTGATGCCATGCGTGGGGCTATTCGACACCTTGGCTATCGATCAACCCGCAGCCACGCCAGACCGAATACGATTCGTACCGATGCTCCTTGGGAGGTGATCTGGGAGATCATGAGGGAATGGGTGAGACAGAAGTCTCCCATCAGAGAAGGCGCCCTAAAGCCCGGAAGTCCCGGCGCTGTCATTATGTCCAAGAGCAGGGAGAACATTCAAGGCCGTGAGGGGGAAGACCCGTCTCTGGCGCTTCTCAAGACCGAGCTTCAAGCAGTCACAGAGGAAGCAAAAGATGTCAAAGATATGATTACCAAAATTGAAGCTGCCTTGTATCGCTCCGGTGCCCGTCAAGCGTTGGGGAGGAAGAGAAGGGAATCTGATCCTCCGCGTGAACAGCCGGGAACAACGCAGAAGGATCTCCAGGACACAAAGCCTCCCCGTAGCCCCAATGGTGCAGGCAGACCGCACCCTAGCACGCTGGAGGTTGTATTCGATGAGGCCTTGGGTAGGGAGACGGCCAAGAAGCGGCTGGTGCGGTATCAAATTAATCCTCGTGAGAACTGGGGTCCTCTGAGCCGAGCATCCGGAGGCAAGTAGATATTAAGTTCAATTATACGGATTAATCTATGTTGAAATACTGAACTGCGCATTTATTGAGTGTGATTGTAGATACTTATCATCCGCCATAACTGCACTTCGTTGTTATTCCGTCTCCTGATATCAGTTTAGAAAGGTTTGAAGTCTATCAGTGTAAATTTTGTGAAATACTTTAAATTAGAATCAATACATTCCTCTAAACCGCCGAGTTGGGAGTTGAGGCGTTCGCTGAGGTCAGCAACCCACCATCGAACTTCTTAAATGAATCAGTGCAACAAACATGAAGAGAGGTTGATAAGTGAATTATTGGACAAGTATTGGAACCAGACACGTTATGTATTGACAATCTAATACTGTCTAACGAGGCTAGGGAAGAAACATGATAGATTACACTCAAGGTACATGACATAAATTCAGGCCATTATTCCTCATCAGCGCATTAAAATTTGGAGACCGCGACCGCGACTGCCTGGGTATCACTGTGGCTAATGCTGACGCTGACCTGTTTGACGCCAGCCTGCTTGGCAGCTTCAGCTGCAGCACCGTGAAGCTGAATCTCAAGTTAGTCGGAAATTCCTATAAGCGGGGCATTTACAAGGTAGTACTTACGTTGACGACGGGCGCCCCGGTTGAATCACTTGAGATCTCAATGTCCTTAAGGGGGGCACCTGCGCCCTTGCTGCTGACACCCAAGGCCTTGAAAACAGCCTCTTTGGCACTCCACCGGCCTGCAAAGGATGATCGAGGAGACGCTGCCTTTTGGCAGTATTCTTGCTCGCTTGCGGTGAAATTCCGTTCAATGAAGGTTTCATTTTCGATGTTGAAACTTTCGATGTTCTCCACGTCCACACCGACCTTCGAGTCTTCAGAAGCATTGGCCTTTGCCAGCGACTCGATCATAGTCTTTGTGCTCTCAAGTCCTTTGTCATTAGCCTTTGGGGGCTGAGCAGGAAACTTGAGTTGCGAAGTCTTCTTGTCGGCAGCCACACGGTAATCAGGGTTGAGGAAAACCTTGCTTTGCTGGGCATCTTCGTAAGGAGCCTTGTCCTTAGCGACGAAGATGCTGTTGTTGATCAGCCCGTTGTGGAAGAAGCGGTATGCCTTCTTCTGTCTCGCCTCGACCTTGGCCTTGTAGGTCTGGTACTGTGCCCGATCCAGGGTTGCGTAGAGGTACTTGGGGTGAATACCGATAACCTGTGCACCCTTCTGGCCGAAACCGAATGAAGTGACGGAGAAGGCATTGATACCGTCAGTCTGGATGCTGCGGCTCGGGTAAACGATGTAGTCAAATTTCTCCATCACCTTGTCCACGTTATCAGCGTTGCGGTTGCCAGGAACCAGACCACTTTCAAGAACCTGTAGACAGCCGTTGAACATCCAGGCACCAGCAGCACCCTTGGGATGTCCGGTGAGATATTTCTGGAAGATACCCAAAAGGGCGTTGCCCTTCTTCCGACCCAGGTGCTTCATCTGCTGGCAAATGACGTCCGATTCATTCTTGTCATTAGCGACAGTAGAAGTACCGTGGAAGGAGGCAACACCGATATCATCAACAGTCAGACCCCAGGTGGCGAGAGCACCACGGAGAGGAGCGATACGGGAATCCTGCTTCCAGAAGTTGTTTCCAAGGCTGTATTGGGCATCCTTCTCCTGGCGGATTGCTTCGCGTTCAATGTGTTGAGCGCGCTCCTGGAGGTAACCGGAGACGTCGAAAGAATCATCAGAGGCCTGGGCTTTCATAGCCTCGGCTTCTTCTTGGAGGTACAGCAACTCGGATTCTTGCCATTCCTTGATCTGCTTCTTACGCAGATCAAGCTGACGGCGACGGTACTTGATGTCCAGCAAAGGAGATGGGAACTTGCCAGGGTTCTCGCGAGCGGTGGTAAGAACTCCTTGACCGGGAGCGGGAACAGAGCGGCCGATCTTGTCAGTAGCCGTGGTTGTCAGAGCAATAATACCATAGATCGGCACACCCATGTCCAGAGCAAGCTGGGCACTCATAATGAGTTGCATACCGCAACCCTGAGACTCCATAAATCCAGCACGAGTGGTAGTGGTGGGCCGCGACATTTCTTGCGGGGTGCGACCATGGGCAAACTCATCTTCGGCATTGCTGGTCGCCTTCATGTTGGCGAATTCATAAGACCCTTCTTCTTGGAAATCATCGAATCCTCCAACAAAGCAGACGCGAGCCTTTCCTTCCACAATCGTCTCGTAACCAATGTCAACAGATTCGACCGCAGTGGCGCATGCACCAACTGGAGTCTTGATCGGGCCAGTGGAGGACAAGAGAAGCATGTTGACCCAGGCACTCATCGTGTTGATGAAGGATTCCTGCAGAATGTCCTTCTGAAGAGGCTTGTCCAGGTAGCGGTCCTTGTACATTCCCCGCAACGCGTGGGTACCACCGATACCCGAGCCAATGCAGTTTCCGACCTCAGACAAGTGAACGTACTTGTAGAACTCATACGGATCGGTAATACCAGCTGAAAGCAAAGACTCAGCAGTGCAGACAAGGACGAACAACGTGACTGGATCAACTTGTTCGATGATATCGTCAGGAATACCGTATCTCTTAGCATCCCAGCCAGTAGGGATCTGACCAGCAACAAGGCGGTCGAACTGAAGGGCCTTCGGGATCAAGAGAGTGGCTCCCTTCTTCAGACGCACAGTGTACTCGCCAGACTCCGGCAATTCAAAGATCTCCACCTTTTCGCCATGCTCACGCTTGAATTCCTCTGCTGTCTCCTTCGAAGCTTCAAACGGATCCAAGTCTTCCTGGATGACAATTTCCTGAAGCAGCTGCTTCTTCTTAGGGTCATAGCCCTTGAACAATTCCGGCTCAATAAGCCGGATACCGGAATGTTCAAGGATGAACTTCTCGTACTTCGGCTTCACATCCTTATCATCCACAGGCTCCCCAGACTTCGCGTCGACCCATCCTGAGTAGGCCTTACCCTTCAATGGACCGTTGTGGTGCTTGATAAGGCCCATGATCCAAGCCATCTCGACACATCCTTCAAGGGAGAACTTGCCATAAGCCTCCATCTCCCAGCGCGTGCGAGAGTTACCCCAGGGTCCGACCTCCGAAAATCCGGTGACGACAACGACCTTGTCCAGGTTGACCATGCCTTTCAGGTTGTCGTTGAGCGGCTTCACATCTTCCTCCCAGTTAGGCAGATTAGGGAACTGGAACTTGATGTTGGCACGAGGCTCAGCAATCACTCGTTTATAGAGGACTTCACTATCCTCTCCATTGACGACCTTGTTTTCGATTGCAGTCTCTTTGATGACTGCCTGGCGAACATCGCTTGTCTCCATGATTTCCGTGCGAAGCTTCGTCATGAGGTCTTTCAGATCAGGGATGAATTGGAGACCGCCATTAAGGTCGGCCCAGACAGGATCAAGCTGACACAAATTGACAATCGCAGGCGCCATGAGACCAAGCAAGTTGAAAGCCATCTCTTGCTGGGAAAATGTCCGGACACCGAGCTTCTCAACACCTTCAGCAACCATGTTGTTGCCGCTCATGAGACCTGTACCCCGGGTCCACCCAATTACGGCACCACAAATGGTCAGATAGTTGTTCCAGTTCTCAGAATACCAGCGGTTGAAGAGTGTTTCCAAAGCCAGCTTAGACTCAGAGTAAAGACCATCGTTTCCGAATGTACCATGATTAGGAGACAAGGGGAGGATGACTTGAGCGGGACGGGTTTCAAAACCGTTGCTCTGCTTCTGCGTCTTGATGCAACCCAAAAGTCGCAAGAGGTTTGTCAACATGATGCGGTGAGCCAGTTCAGACTTCGAGTCAATGGAGTCGATTTCACGTCCATTCTCAGGAATGGCGGCAAATGGAACAACGAAGTCCAAGTCCCAGCCGAGACCCTTCTTTGAGTCGTAAATATAGTCGACAAGTGCTTCCACATCTTGCTTGCTACCTTGGTTGAAAGGCACCACAACAAGCTGTGAGCCACGGCCACCATAGCGGGCATACATGGCCTGGTAGTACTCAGTGACCTCACGAGAGTATCGGCTTGTCGTGACAACCACCTTGGCACCACCACTAATCAGGCCCTGCAGCACTTCCGCTCCAATGGAACCTGCGCCTGCGCCAGTCATCAAGACGTTCTTGCCTTGGAAGGTGAGACCTGACCGCGCAGCAGATTCCAGTACGTCCAGGTAAATACCGGTGAGTTTCTTGTTGTAGTCCCAACCGTGTTCGGACTTCTTCTTGAGATGCAAGAAGGGGATGGTCTCCACTTTGCCTGCGCGGGGGCTACCGTTGCGCTTGACACCATTCCTGCCGGTCTTCTTGCCAGACCCATTCTCTTGGGGCATGATCTGGTTCTCATTCATGCTGAGAGCACGAATAACTTCCTTGTAGAGAGCATTGAACTGAAGTTGCGACGACTTGGACAAGCGATGCTGTCTGCGGATCAACTTGTAGACGCTGCGAAGATCATTCTGAACCTTCGTGCGGTTGCTGTACTCGGAGATGGGGCCACCCTCCGCCATTTGCTTCACGTAGTGTTCCAACTTGCGAGCGCTAGCCCGGGGAACCTCCTTGTACCCGATGTTTCCTCTGGCATCGACAGTAGTCTGGGGTCCGGTAGGCACGGCGACATCCTTGTACACAGGGGCGACACCCAAGACTTCCTTGCAGTTTTCGATAAGCTGCTCACCAAGTTCCTTGGCCAACTGATATGTCTCACCCCTATCGGTAGGGCAGTTGTCAATGTGGTACTGCATGAACTCAAGAAGCAGTGGGTTTGAACGGTTCATAATGCGAATACACTGGCTCACAATTTCACGATCCACAACTTTGAGTCTGCCGAAAATGATGTCGTAGTACATGCTCAAAGCATCCTGGCGTGCCCAATTCCAGGAAGAATCATACACGCGTGCTTTCAGGGCATCGAAAGCCGGCTCGATACCAGAGGCATAGAAATCGCCATGCTCAGCTTGCCAAAGGTCCAGCTGTGCTTGCAATGTTTTCTGAG